TTAAATTCCTTAAACTCCCTAAATTTCTTTTCTCTTTCCCTTCGTTCAGCCCTTCGATCCCTTAACGCATTTTGTCTCGCCCTTGGGACATTCCTGATGACTTCAGGCTCCGAGTCTGAATCATTACAGAAGAAGGTCCTGCGACGACGTACCCTTCTAGGTTGTCCCCTTCCTTGACTTCGAGAACTCCCACTTGGAGTAATTCGAACTTGTCCCTGTTCAGCCATATCTGAAATAGGACCAAGGAAACAATAAGAATGGCTACAACCATTCAATATGACAACATTTGTCATAATGACTCATAGAAGTATATCAATGTAGGGGGTTAATGCTAAACTAATTTTCTATATTAAGAAGATATTAAGATATATTAGGACCAGTTTATATCAGTTCATGGTCCACACAAAGAAAAAAAATTCTTTTCAGGCAATTTTCTGTTATTGTATACAATCCATACTTTAAAGATTTGAATTTTCTAACTATCTTTTGCCCTTCCTATTTTTACCGTCTTTCCACTGTTTTGTTTTTTTTGAACAATCCAGTGATACATCATATCACTTAAAGACATATCTCAACTCTGTATATGCCAAATTCTTGTCCCAACACTTTAAAGAATTTAACAGATATGACATAGAAAACTACAAAATAAATTTTGAAATAAAGAAAGTTTGTACCTTTCTTAGTACACAATTTTCAAGATGCAAATACAGACTACATATGACGCAATCACGAAGACACATTTGTAACCAGAAAAAAACTTGTTTTGGTTCATCTTTCTTTTTACGTTCTAATTGCAGATTTAAGATTTTAACAAAGCTTTCATATAGCATACAAACTGTTTCTCGTGCTAGGGTCTCCGGATAGATTGATGCCAAAATCAGAAAGCAATCGCTCGAGAAACTGGACCGACAAGAAATCAGATTCTAATAGACAATTCACAAGGTTCAATGGAAGAAATTTATGCGGCATCAAAATAGAAATTTCAACTCCATTAAAATTTCTCCCATACTCTGTTAATGGAAAATCAAAAACAAAAAAAGTTCTCTATTTCCCCAGGAAAAAAATTTCATTGTGTATCATATTTATGTACATAGAATACACAAAAATGGCTCTGATATCAATGTTAGATGATTACTCGCGTGGCGAGAACAACATCAGCGTACCTGTCAATGCAGCGGAAGAATTGTTGAACTCACCACCGAAACAATTGCCCAAAACCAAACTTTGAATCACTAGAAACAAAGTTAATCTTCCACCAATTAGATGCCCTTGCTTGTGTGTATCTTTCTTTGGGAGAAGAAGAGATTCAGAGAAAATTCTTACTGTGCGTGGTTCTATATTTTTTCCTTCACATAAAATAGGCAGAGAAATAGCGGTTAAGGAAGATAACCCACCACTCACCCCTTTTGCACGTTCAGTTTAGTGAGAGTTTTTGGTCTAGTGGTAACTTCCCTTAACCTCTCTCCCTTATCTCTCCTAACCGGGTCGGGGCAGCCCACATGGAGCGACCCATGACCCATAATTCAACATAGCTCCCAATTTTAAAGCCCTCCTCACTACAAGAAAAGTGTGAATTACCTGGGAATTTTTTTTGCAAATAGTTCCTACGAATTTTCATGCAAAAATATGAAATTCCTAAATTTTAGAATATTTTACAAGCGAAAAGTTTTTCCCCAGAAAAATCCGTAGGTAATTTGGCGCCATTTTGCGCAAAAATTTACCTGGGGAATTATTTGGGAAATAAATCTGCAAGTATCGTTTTCATAGGTAAATCCGCAAGTAATGAACAAAAATAAATTCCTTTGTCAATTCGCAAGAAAATCCCTAGGTAAATGTACCTGCGGATTTGGCTAGGGATACTTACTTGGGTATTTACCTGGGGATATACTTACCTATGGTATTACCTGGGGATTTTAATATGCGAATTTAGCTGGAATTTATTTTTTGAGGATTTACTTGGGGATTTTTTTACCTGGAGAATTACTTGGCGATTTTATTATTGCGTGTTTACCTGAGAATTCTTTTTTTTTTTTTTGAGGATTTACTTGGTGATTTACGCAGGGATTTATCTGTTACAAGTTTAGTTGAAGATTATTTATTGGGGATTGACTTAGCTGGAGATTTACCTGAAAACAATTTTTAAAACTATATCTAAGAAATGAAATTATAATAATATCGAAAAATGATACTGATATCACAAGTGAATATTATTTTTAGCATTTACTTCCTTTTGTCGATCAAATAAATTATTATGCAATAATCTCACTCTAAAAAGTTGTTGAAAAGATAAAGGATTAAAGCAACAATATTGATAGAATTATTATTAATTTATCATATTTAGTTAATTAATTCATTGATGGCAATGTCATGCATATTTATCATTCTTTTTTAAAGATAAATGTAGTTAAAAGTTAATCTCAGACAAGGATCAATAGTGTAATTTTTTTGATTGAATATTACAAAAGAATGACACAGTTACTAATTGAATAACATATTAATTATCATAAATCCGTTGTTGAGATAATATCATTAGAAAATATACTTAATTTAGTATTGTTAAATAATTTAAGTATAACTTTTAAGTAAAATAAATATTCAGCTACAGTTATCATTCGCATGAAGTTTAATTATCTCTTCGAATAGAGACAATATGTACAAGGAAAATACTAATGTTTTAGCGGCATATCTTACTTATATGTTATCTTGTTTTTACATGTATTAAAAATAATATAATCCAATTATAGGATGTTACTTAAATGATATTTATTTGTATATATTGTAGGTGTGACTTATGTATTGAGTAACTTTCTCGTTTTATTTCTAACTATCCTCTTGATTAACTTCTAATATTATTGAAGTAACTGGATCTTGTATACATGGTTAGAATTAGCTAATAATCTTTACCAATTACTTAACCATGTAAAGTGTGTTTACTTCTTGTTTAAAGAAATTATTATATAAAATTTAATGTGTTATTCAAGGTATATAAATGTACCATTATCCATTTTTCCCTATATAAGACCTCTAATGTCCAAAATTGTGTTCCTTGAAGGAAAAAAATTACACATGGTATGAGCTCTGTCAATTAATTATTAAAAATTATCTTAATTCGATCCATTTGGTTATACTTGAAAAATTCATTCTTAATGTATCTTTCTTCAAAAAAAAAAAAAAAGAATAATTTTACATCCTGATTTTGGAAGAGACATGGCTGCCAGTAATTGTGTCTCTATATTTTACCACATCGGATAAAGAAAACACTATTTCCCCCTTTATAGTGGGCAACTTAATATCAGGTAGACGGTTGGAGCTTCCGGCATTTAAACACGGGCAATTGAGTTTGTGGATTGTGATTTGTGGGAGTGACCCATATCATGGGCCATGCTATCTTTCCGCAGGGCGGGTTTGATAGAGGAAGATATATTAGTCTTATTAATATATTAAATCAAACATATTATAATTACAAATAACTATAGAAATTAATAATTGAGAAGTAAGGAAGAGAATACTGGTGTTAATCTAATCCAGGGAATATTGTAGTAACAAAAGAATTAAATTATGAAAATGAAATAATAAATCTCTTTTTCAGAAATTTGTTGCCAAAAATTCATTGAAACTTTTCAGGGGGAATTACAAATTTCCCTTTTTTTACGAACTTTTACCAAAATTTTCTTGCAATTTTTTAGTTTTTGGTGCGAAAAATCCGCAGGTAATTTACATGCGGATTAATCCCCAGGTAATAAATCTGGGGATTTTAAATTTTGCAGGTAATAATTACCTACGAAGGTTTTTTCATCGGATTCTTTTTGGTAGGAAAATTCGCAGAAAACTAAATTACCTGCGAATTTTCTAGTATAATCCCCAGAAAAGTCCCCATGTAATTCACAATTTTCTTGTAGTGCCTGCTCTTCATTGAGGTATTCCGTCAATTTCTCTCGATTCTTTCTGAGGTTATACAAGGTTGAAATGACAAATATTACACTGTAAAGATTTTTTTATATTTTATGGCAAGTTATTATTTTATTTTCTATGTTATCGTGTCAAACTTGATATAAAGAGTTATCCATGTGTTTCAACTTAGATGACACACTTTACATATTATTTCGTTTCAAAAAGAATGATATATTTTTACAATTGGAAATAACTCAACTTTAAACTCTTCAATTTACCCTTAATAAGAACCTTTTATAATTATACAAATGTCATGGCCCCACAAAACTTTTAAGACCATAAATTTCAAATATTTTTATTTTTCCTTAAACTCCGTGCCGAGTCAAACTAACTCATCTAAATTGAAACAGAAAAGGTATTTATTGTTGAATGTCAACTTAATCTAATACTTAAAAGATTCATATATTGTCAGTGCAAAAAATCTAAAGTTGTTCGTTATAAGGTCGAGAATGATGTCTCAACTTATGTATAAAAAATTATAAATACATTAAGAAATACTTAATAAACACGGAAACCAAAGCCTACATTATTTTGCCTGACAAATAATACGATAATTTTGATGTGGTCTCTCGACAATTACGATATTTTTCTCAAGTTTTCATGGCCTACCATCCTATAGCATGTGTGGCCAAATTTCTTTTTGGCCAAAAATGCTTTTTTTTTGCCAAAAGTATTTTTGGCCAAAAATTGAGATGTTTGGCCAAGCTTTTGGAAGGAAAAAAAGTACTTTTAAGGAGAAGCAGAAGCAGTTTTGGAGAAGCACAAAAAAGTAGCTTCTCTCCAAAAACACTTTTTTGAGAAGCACTTTTGAGAAAAATACAATTAGAAACAGTTTTTTAAAGCTTGGCCAAACACTAAATGCTGCTCAGAAGTGTTTTTCAAACGAATTAGCCAAACACAAACTGCTTCTCACCAAAAGTACTTTTGAGAAAAACACTTCTCAAAATAAGCTGATTTTTGCAGCTTGGCCAAACGGACTACTAGTCCTACAAGGCAATGAAAACTTTAGCCATCTAAATTAAAGTATAAAGAATACACTTGTATGTATACTATTGAGAGATTCTCTTCTCCTTTCTTGGCCCCATAATCAGTAACCACCCCTTTGCTTTGCCAACTGCAAAACACTGAAAGAAAGGGAGCATGAAAATCAGATTATTTCTCCTCCAATTTGTTCTCTTCCTTTTGTGTTCTTCTTCTCTCTCCTTTGCCAAAATTCCACCAAGATTCCCTTCTTCTTCCTTTGTTCAACCTGAAAATCTCTACTTTTCTCTGGCCTATAAAGGCAACAAGCTTTATGAGACAAACTACTTCACTCAAATTCTTGACCACTTCAACTATAATCCAGATAGTTATCAGACCTTTCAACAGAGGTATTTGTTTAATGACAAACATTGGGGTGGTGCCAAGAATAATGCTCCTATCTTTGTATACACTGGTAATGAAGGAGACATTGAATGGTTTACTCAAAACACTGGTTTCATGTTTGAAATTGCTCCCCATTTTAAAGCCCTCCTAGTCTTCATTGAGGTATTACCGCTCTTCTTTCAATCTAAATAGTACTTCCTCAGTTCCAATTAACGAGAGTTAAAATGTGTCAAGTTTAACCAATATTTTAAAATGTATTTTTTATCATATTTACATGAGAGAAATTGCAACTTATAGTACTTTTTGTATAGTTTTTTAATATCTAAATTATAATTTTAAAATACCGAGTTGAACTAATTTAATTGAACTTCAAAGTGACGTGAAATGTGTCATATCAATTGAAACAGAGGGAAGGAGTATTTATTTCTCATTTATAAGTGGTTTTGCCTTTAATTTACTTCACAATATTTTTTCATAATCGTTTAACTATGTACAATAGACCCTTGTGGTCCGGTCCTTCCTCGGACCCTGCGCATAGCAGGAGTTTAGTGCACCGGGCTGCCCCTTTACTTTAAATGTCATCATCAATGCTGTTCATTTATACGGTGTGAGATAAGACTGGGTATGTTGTTATAATCATCATTTGCTTTACTATTGACACAATTTAAACTTTTAAATAAAACAATACTCCCCCCTATCAATATTACCCGTCTTTTAAGATTTTTGTACACCTTTTAAAAGTACATTTAATAACCTTAATCATATATGAGAATATTTGCCTGAGCATACATGTTGTCTTTTTTAAACATCTCACTTAATTAACAATTTATTTTTGGTAATTGGTATGTTGTATTTTTTTTAATTTTTTTTTGGTATGTTGTATTACAGCATAGGTTTTACGGGAAGTCAATACCATATGGAGGAGACAAGGAGATAGCCTATTCAAACACAAGTACATTAGGTTATTTGAGTTCAACACAGGCATTAGCTGATTATGCAACTCTTATAATTGATCTGAAAAAGAACTTGACTGCCACTGACTCACCTGTAGTTGTTTTTGGGGGTTCCTATGGTGGAAGTATGTACTGGCTGCCCTTTAATTTCTGCATTTATTTAATACTAATATTAACTTTGCAGCTTTTGCAATTATTAAAATGGTTTGGGATATATATCTACAACCATTTAATATATTGTTGTGACAGTGTTGGCAGCATGGTTTAGGCTAAAATACCCACATGTGACCATTGGAGCCTTGGCTTCTTCTGCGCCCATCCTCAACTTTGAGAATATTACTTCTCCTTACAGCTTCAATAATATCATCACCCAAGACTTTCGGGTAAGCTTCTTTTTATTTTTGAGAAATATTGGTCAAGTTAAAAAAGATATTGAGTAATTCTATTTCTATTTATCTAAACTTCGGTGAATAGAGTTATCCAATATTATTATGGTGAAAGATAACAGATACTCAGTGAAATAGTTGAGATGCATAATTTGAAAACTATAGTTATTAAGAAAAAATGTAGCCATGCTTCATCAAATTAACCTGATAATGATGTACATCTGTTGGTGGTTCACCATTTCAAATTGAACTATTACATATATAAAAAAAGGCAGCCTGGTGCACTAAGCTTTCGTTATACGCGGGGTTCGGGGAAGCGCCGGATCACAAAGGTCTATTGTACGCAACCTTACCCTGCATTCCTGCATGAGGCTGTTTCCACGGCTCGAACCCGGGAGCTCCTGGTCACATAGCAGCAACTTTACGAGGTTGTTTTCACAGCTCGAACCCGGGACCTCCTGGTCACATGGCAGCAACTTTACCCGAAAGACGCTATTTTCACGGGTCGAACTAGTATATACAGAAAAATAGAAATAATAATAGTTTAATGTTCCTTTTTAATGTTTTGTTAAGTATGAAAGTTGTGAGGTAAGCAACTAATTACTTTCCTCAAAAGCTATAGGAATACTACTCTTAAAACTTCATTTTAAAGAAAAAGGATGCTTGCAAGAAAAAGAAAAAAAAAACATATTTTACTTAACTTTAATTTTCTCAAAAATTATATTTCCTAACAACTCTTTTCACACACAAGCAACCTGAAGGAAAGCTCATCCATTCTTCTAACCAACTTTTACACCAACTTGTTAATAAATATCTAGGACTACATATAACATATGTTTTATGTAGCTATTATTAATTACTATAGCTAGCTCATCCACATTCGAAAGATAAAAGCCAATGAAGATGAGATTCAGGATAAGACATGATGTATGTTGTAATTTAAAAGGCATCAATTGATTAAATATTGGAGAAATTGGAAAAGTCTTGGACAACTATATATTTTGGAAGTTTCTCATGATTGAACACTATATTCAGAATAAACCAAAGGTATCATAATCATCAAATAACAAACAAACACCTCTGTACGTACTAACAAATGAAAAGGTTTGGTGCATTTTGGTCTGTATCTTTCTCTCTTCTGTCATTTATTTTTCATTTTTGCTTATGTGCGCAAAAAAAAAAAAAAAAAAAAAAAAAAATTAGGGTGAAAGTGAGAATTGTTACAAGGTGATTAAGGGATCATGGAAAAAAATTGAAGATATGGCTAAAACAACCGGTGGATTGAAGAAACTCAGAAAGTCATTCAGATTATGCAAGTAAGAATCACTTTTAATATTGTCTAATTAAGGCGGGGATACACTAATTACTTAAAATATTACTCCGTTCGTTCACTTTTACTTGTCCAGTATGGACTTTGCACAACCCTTAAGAAATGACAAATGAAGTGCATAATTTACCATGATACCCCTATTAATTGATGCATATTTTTAATGGAGAAAATGATTTGAAATGAGTAATTAATACCGTAAATATAACAGGAAAAAAGAAATTATCTTCTCTTGATGTGCTAAAAGTGACAAGTAAAAATGAAAATCTATTTTTAGAATATTGGACAAGTAAAAGTGAAACAGAGTAATTAACGATATTAAACGGAGTATATTGATGGTGTTTATTTAGAAAACTGGAGTAAGGTGAATATTTAAATGCTGGGGGTTGGGTTTATCAATATTTAATACGTGAAACGATACATTCTCTAAATAATTAATATTATTGTTTAAATTTATAGGAACTATATTAGTTCAGGTTCTCTTGTAAATTGGCTCTCTACGGCATTTACATACACAGCGATGACTGATTATCCAACTGCTTCCAATTTCCTTAATCCATTGCCAGCGTCTCCAGTGAAAGAGGTACAAGTTTTTATTACAGAAACCTCTACATTTTATCTTTATATTATTTCTGGTTCACAGTTCCTCGGGGAATATAATATTATTTAAAGGATTATTTAACAGGTAAACTTTGAAAATATCTGTTTGTGATTTTCAACCTTTTTTCTTTCTTCTTAATTTCTTATGGAAACCAATGCTTTGCTCCTTCGTATTTGAACAATAAGAACAAGAAAAAAGAATATTCCAACCTCACATTTTAAGATATTCGAAATGGATCTCTTTCAACAATTTGATTAACAATTCAATAGAGGTGTGTAACTTTTCGAAAAATCCAAACATGTTTAGGAAAGAGCTCAAATTTTTACAAATGAAACAAAATGCCGACTCCAATATTTAAGCTATGTTACTTTCATCCTTAAAAATTACCATTCACTGTATATTGGATCCTCCTAAAATTAATGTGGAGAATTCGTACAAAATATTTTTTAAGAATTCGAACAAGAAATTTTTAATGAGAAAATTATAATTATTGTACAAGTAAAACATCTGCGTCAAAGTTTTTTTTTTTTTGGTAATTAATTCTTTCATTTACCAGGGAAAATATTTACAAGTAAATCAAACCCTTACATAGTTGCCTATCATACTAATTTCTCCCTATCCCATCTATTTAATATCTACATCTATTAAACTGGATACCAATTTAATCTGTGCAGAATTTTCTCTACTTTCCTGTTGCTACGACAGTGTATCTCTTGGATTATCAGCTTACAAACTATCTCCCATCCTCTTGTCTTGTTTTTAAAGATTCGACCATTTCTTTCCTGCCACACATAGTATATTGTAGCTGCCAGCACCATCTTGTATAATTCAGCTGTTGCATTCCTTTTCTTAGCCCATTTCTCTGCCCACTTTAGCTCCCTATCCCATCCTTTTACTGATCTATCAATGCCTTGCCATTCTAATAGTTTACTCCACAGAGCTTTTGTATATGAACATTCAAAGAATAAGTGCTGTATGGTCTCCTTGTCACTGTTGCACAGAACACAATCTTGATCAACTAAAACTCCCCATTTTTGCAATCTATCCTTGTATATAATCTTCCATGTGCTGTCATAGTTAGTATAAAGTTCCATCTGGGGCATCCTCCATTGTGACATACTACTTTCCTCCAACTTACTTTCTCAAACGTACCTCGCAGCCTGTGATAGATTTGTTTGATAGAACAGCTATTCATATTTGTGATATCATCCTGGCTGAATCCTGCTTCCATCATAGTCTTCTGTGCCTTCATGATCTTGCCTACCATCCATGATGCTTGTTTCAACTGTATTGTCCAGATGTTCCTTCCTCTAATGTAGTAACCATGTACCCACTGTATCCACAACTTCTTCTTCTCTTTACATAAGTTCCAAAATTGCTTACATATAGCAGCTTTGTTCCAGATTGTTATATTCATGACATTAAAACCACCTGCTGACTTGGGAAGGCATATTTTTTCCCATGCTAGTAGTGCTTTTTTTGAAACTGTACCTTCTCCAGTCCATAGGAAGCTTCTGCATATTGACTCAATTAGTTTTGTGATCTTCTTTGGTAGAACAAATATTTGGGCCCAGTAGGTTTGAATGGAGAACAGAATGCTTTTTATGAGTTGAATCCTTCCAGCATAGGACAAGAATTTTGCAGTCCATGAAGTGATTCTTCCCACTATTTTATCAATAACTGGCTGACACTGTGCTATGGATATTCTTTTGGAGCTCAGTGGTGCTCCAAGGTATCTAACTGGTAATACACCTCTCTGAATTCCTAGAAATTCTAGGATCTCCTCCTGCTCTTTATTTGTGACTCCTCCAAAGAAAATTGAGCTTTTGTTTTTGTTAATCCTCAATCCAGAAGCTTTTGAGAGCTCCATAACGCATTGAAACAATATTTTAACTGATCCAATATCTCCCCTGCAAAACAATAAAAGATCGTCAGCAAAGCCAAGTTGCCAGATTTGCATCTTAGCACACTTGGGATGGAAGTTGAAGTTTGGGATCTCAGCCAGTTTCTTTAGTTTCCTTGTCAAGTACTCCATTACAAGCACAAATAGAAATGGTGAGAGGGGGTCCCCTTGTCTCAGTTCTCTCCTGGCCTCTAATGGCTTAGTTAGTGCACCATTAATCATGACTGTATATGTGACAGTTTCCATACAAGTCATGATCCATCTTACAAACTGCTCTGGGAATGCTAATGCATGTAATATCTGCTCCATAAAAGCCCATTCAATTGAATCATAAGCTTTCTGCATATCCAATTTCATCATACATCTAGGTGATGTCCCTTTTCTCCCATATCCTTTCACAAGCTCATGACTCAGTAATATTATCTGTGATTACTCTGCCAGGAACAAAAGCTGCCTGTGTACTATCAATCAGTATGTCCATTATACTTTGTAGCCTCTTGGTGAGAAACTTTGATATCACTTTGTACAAGACTGTACAACATGAGATAGGCCTATATTCTTTAATGCTTGCAGGATTTTTGACTTTAGGAATTAAGGTAATGGCAGTACAATTGATAGGCTTAAACATTTGTGCTGATTCAAAAAATTCCAACACATCCTTTGTCACATCCTGCCCAATGGTTGGCCATGATTTCTTGAAGAAAACAGCATTTAGCCCATCATAACCAGGGGCTTTTAGGTCACTAATATCCTTCATTGCTTCCCATATTTCTTCCTTGGACACTTGCTTGATAAGCTGTAGTTGTTGTTCCCTATTCAATATTGCCCCCATTTTCATATCATTTGGATTAACAGCTGGAAGATTATCTGCTCTTGAGCCCAATAACTTCTTGTAGTATCCCATGATTTCTGCCTCTATATCTTCCTCCAACACTAGCTGAACCCCCATGTCATTAGTTAGCATCTGTATTCCATTCAAATTATTCCTATTCTTCATCTGAGCAAAGAAATAAGCTGAGTTTGAATCCCCCAGTTTCAACCATTGCACTCTTGATCTTTGTCTATATATGCTTTCTTCAATCAGTACCCATTTTTCTAGTTCACCCTTTAGTGCTTTTTCCTTCTCAATTAGCTCTAGCTTTTGTAGATTGGAACTCATTTCTTCCTGTACTGATTGAAGCTCCTTCCTGATCCCTTTTATTTTCTCATCAACTCCTTTGTAATGCTGAGTGTTAATCTCTTTTATAGCCTCCTTTACCTTCTTGAGCTTATTCCATACTACTTGCATCATACCACCAGTATTCCTTCCTTCCCAGGCTTGTTCAACTTTCTGTATGAATTGAGGATGATCAGCTATACAATTGAAGAATCTGAACGGTCTATTTTTCTTCCCCTGCACTTGTGTTATCATTAGCTTTAATGGTGAATGATCAGACACTAAAGGCTTTAAGACCTGCACTTTCATGTTAGGCATTATCGTCATCCAGGCTGCATTTACTAATCCCCTATCTATTCTACTATAAGTGTGATTGTTAGTCCATGTATAATTCCTTCCCACATACTGTAGTTCGTGCATCCCTGTATCAAGCATATATTCCTTAAAATCCCTTGTTTCCATATTTTGTACCTCAGTACCATGCTGTCTATCCTGTGCCTGGAGGACAGCATTATAGTCTCCCATTGCTAACCAGGGCCCCTGTTGTAAACTGTGTATCTGTCTCAACTTTCTACACAAACTTAGTCTATCTTTGATAGTATGTAAACCATATATTGCTGAAAAGCCAAATGTGATCGCCTTTGATATGATTCTAATCTGCCCATGTATCAACTGTTCATCAACTTCTTCTAGATCAAAATTATAAATTCTAGGATCCCATATTACCCATATTCTACTTTTATTGCTTGTACTAGCATTTGATATCCACTGCCAGCCAGGTGCTATTTTTTTGATTATTTCCTTTGTTCTGTGCTCCTTTACTCTATGCTCAACCAATACTATTAGAGCTTTATTATTACCTCTTATAAACTCCTTTACTCCCTTTTGGTTATATGTTTTATTCAACCCCCTAATATTCCAAGTTATGATATTCATATTGGTATAAAAAGAGGTTTATAATATTGCTCCTGCACTCCTTGACTACTCATTTGCATTTTGTTTGTACCTGGTTCATCATAGTTTGTGCTGCTCTTCAAGGTTTGGGCTTCTTTCTTTCCTGCAGCTTCCTGCTCTTCATTTTGTCTGACCTTAGCTGCCCTTGCTGCTGATTCCCAAGTACTGTAATCCACCCTTCATCCTTCCTTTGTACTTCTTTATCTGTTGGTTCTGGCTCTCCCAGCTGGTCAGATTCAATCATTTCCTTTTGTTCTATTTTCTTCTTTTCATTAGCTCCAATTCTGTCAGTTCTTAGCCAGACCTGTTTACCTGTGGCTGCTTTCTTTTGTTGGATCATTTTCTATGGTTGTGGCCGTTTGATCTCAGCACAATCATGTCCTATTTTCAAACATTTAGAGCAGTATGTCGGTTCCCAATCATAGGCAACCTCCTGTTGAATTAGCCTCCCCTTAGGATCCTGCAATTTTACACTTCTAGGCAATGACCTAGTTATGTCCATTTCAATTAGCATTCGTGCATATGAGATCCTCATTGTTCCAGTAGTACATTCATCTGCATACACAAGGTTCCCCAAAGCACTTCCTATCTTGCTTAGTGCTTTCATGCTCCAGAAGTTAAGAGGAAAATTGGAAAATCTCACCCATAATGGGATAGTCTTCAATACCTCATCGTGAACATTGAAGTCTTCAGTCCATGCTTTCATGATTATAGGTTTATTATTCACTGTATGAGGTCCAGAGTATAGCACTTGGTCCCTTTCCTCCAGATTAGTAAACCTTATCACAAAATAACCCTCATTATGATAGTAGATCTGTGGTTTTCTTGAGAATTTACCTACTGAGCTGAGAAATCTCTCCATAGCTCCAATGGTAGGTGAATCCTCTATCACGTACAGAATAATCGCAGATCTCCATTTATCATTTTCCTGCTCGACATCCTCAGCCTCTAATTTTACAATTTTCTCACCATTTTGAATGATTGGAGCCATAAACTGCAGATTCATACCCTTCATGGCTAATTTATTCCCTGCTACCACATTTGCCCATGATTGATCCTGTTTGATAGCCTTTGGTTCGTCATTTTTACTGCTCTCTACTGTACCATAGTTGCATGATACTGTTCCATTGCTGGTGTTGTTCCTGGCTTGCTCTTGAGTTTTCCCGCTCCCAGATCCACTTCCACTTGCTTGAGTAATTGTAGGTGTAGCTGCAATTATCTTCAATTTGTCCTTATTCCGCGATGGATCTGCTTCCTCTTTACTTATCTCACTCTGCATGCTCCTCGGAGTGAGATTTCCAGCTTGGTCTTCAATTCGAACTCCTTTAGGTGACACAAATAGTTCTAGTACTGCTTTCCTCGTCTCTGTTGATCGTTGTTCATCAACAGCGTTCTTCTGCTGATTTTTCCTAGGCCCGCCTCTCCCTCCCATGGCTTCCAAGCGCACGTTAGCTGGTCCACGTTAGCGTGCGCCGAGAGTCCACAAAATTGTTAGACATCTGTGTCAAAGTTAAATATTAATCATTCATTTTTTATTTTTTTTGTAATTTTCCATAGCATTAATTAATTTGCAGATTTTTTTGCAGCGTAAAATTTGTCTTTTTTTTATATAGAGAAGAGCAAAACTATATCTAATTTCAATTACAATAATATATATGATGTGACATTGGAAAGCAAAATTATTGACTTTGACCAATTGGGAAAAACAATTTTGTACATAAATGAAGATGTGCAAGGCAATTGATGATCCAAAGACTGGAAACGACACGTTCGAAAAGCTATATGGCGCTGCTAATATCTATTACAACTACACTGGGAGAGCCACTTGTTTTGATCTAAACGATAATTCGGATCCTCACGGCCTAGGTGGATGGACTTGGCAGGTATTACCCTCTCAGATTCATATTATTTGTTTTTTACCAATTTGAGTTTAAAAAATATTTGACGTTTTTAGAAAAATAAAAATTACTTCTCCCGTTTTGTGGAAATGACACCAGATACAAACTTTTAAGCATGTTGAACTATATTCACAGTTTATAATGTATTTAAAAATTAGTCGATTTCGCTCAAACTTCAGGATAAGACGTCCTAGAGCTTAAACCTCAAAGTTCAAACTTCAGGACATCGTGTCCTAAAAGTTCAAAAATTGTGTTAAGAAGTTCGAATCTTATGCCCTGAATTTTAAAGTAGTAGTTCAGAAATTCAGGAAACTTAGTCCTGAATTTCCAAATTAGCAGCTGAAAAATTCAGGATATTAAGTCCTGAATTTCCAGATTCAGGATACATAGTCCTGAAGTTTGAGTGAATTGGCTAATCTTTAAATACATTGTAAATTGTAGATATATTTTTGATAGCACACTTAAAATTGGCTCTTACTGCACTTCGCCCTCCCGTTTCGGTCCCTATTTTTTTCTAGAATTTATTTTTGTGAAATATGACTTTTATTATTTATTTAATCCATATTATTTGTTGTTTGTTAATTGAATTTGTTATAAAATATTTGATGTTTTAAAAATAGTAAAAAGTACTCATTCCGTTTCAGTTTATATAACTTATTTTATTTTTAATTTATTCTAAAAAAAGACTCTTTTTTAAACTTAAAAATAATTTAACTAGTATTAACATCAGTTAGATGATGATATAAAATATTGAATTTTTATTGTGTGATACAGGCATGTACAGAGATGGTAATGCCTACAGACGGGAACAACAAGGAGAGCATATTTCCACCCTCTGAGTGGGATTACAATGAAAGAGTCCGATTTTGCCAATTAATTTTGGATGTTAAGCCCAGACCAGATTGGATTACTACAGAATTTGGTGGCTATGTGAGAATAGGCCCAGAATGTGAATATTTCAGGCCATGCCCAACTTATAATACTAATATAATTCTTTTTTTTTTTTTTTTGTTTGGGCAGAATATTGAAAGGGTTTTAAAAAGGTTTGGGAGCAACATCATCTTCTTCAATGGGCTAAGAGATCCATGGAGTGGTGGAGGGTTAGTAACTTCTTTCTCTATATACACATAACATATTTTATTCTCGCAATAGTCAGAGGCGGAATCAGGATTTGAACCCTATGGGTTCGGGATTGTAATCCTTTTAAGTTACTGCGCTCTAAATTAATAATTTTTACATATTCAATGAAGTTTTTAAGATAAATACAAAGTTTAAACAAAAGCTATTGAGTTTGAGTGAACCCGCATCTCACGCTCTGGCTCCGCCCCCAGAAATAGTGCATGCATCAATTATATACCGATATGTATATAATATCACCATGGATCAACCACCCTCCCCCCCCCCACCTCCTCTCACACCCCACCCAATGCAAATTTGCATATAGATTTACATAAATCCACAAGGTTTACTTTTATTTATTTATGTGTTTATATTTTTTGATAGGGTTCTTAAGGATATATCTAAGAGCATAGTTGCTATTATTGCAAAAGAAGGTTATAACTGATCTCATTCTTTATTTTCTCTCTCTTTTTCTAATTCTATTAAAATACCCTATATCTTTTACAGTATTTATCATCTTTAATTTTTTTGTTTTTTGTTTACACATTGATTATAGGAGCACATCATGTGGATCTTAGATGGTCAAGCAAAGAAGATCCAGAATGGCTCCGAGAAGTGAGGGCAAGAGAGATCAACATCATATCCAAGTGGATCTCTCAATACTATCAAACTTTAACTGATTTTTCTCATTAGGAGTTTATAATATTTTTAAAAGAAAAATAATGCAAGGAAACAAAAATTCTCAGGGTTCAATATGATTTTTCTCAAAATACAGTTGTAATTTCCATACCTTTGGTTTATGAAGTATACCTTATTTCTAGTGCCAGGAAATTTTTTGGTTTGGTAGTTGAATTAAGTCCTCCAAGTAACTACACATTTTCTTGTATAATAATGTTTCTTACCGAAATATAATCAATCTAAGTAAATTTATGGAAATATCTAGTACTCCCTCCGGCCCAATTTATATTCGTGTAACTATATGTCATCTTATTAAAGGTAAAATATGAAATTTGAACTAAAATTATTTCTAAATATAGAATATATAATTTTTTTAAAACAAACTAAAAAAAAATAGTATATCACATAAATTGATAGTATTAGACAGGCTAGCCATTTTTTAGCACTATAATTAAAAAATAAACATTATCATAAAGTTTTAAATTCTACATGCCATAGCATTGTCCAAGGAGTTTCACCTTTAAAATGTGAAACTCTATGACCGCGACTATTTTTCATTTAACTAAAAAGAAACTATTTGTGATTATCCGAAAAATAACACAGTATAGCCGCAGAAAAAATAATAGCTGAAAAATGTATAAAATTTGTACATTTTTTGTATATAATATACATTCTATATGTTCTATACAAAAAATCTACAAGTTTTATATACATTTTCGGCTACCAAATATAAATAGTTTCTGGCGCAGGCTAAAATTGATAATACCCCAATTTTATCTAATAAGTTGGGATATAGTGAGTAACTAATATGGGCCGATTGAACTAACTACCGAAATGGGCTTTATCACTTTCCACAACGGGATTGAATTTCAAAGTTGTGAATGAGACAGATCGGAAATGGCAAACACTAATTTCATGAAATCAATTTTGATATGTAAAAAATAGGAGTTTTGGCATGGTATAACAACATACTCATGTAATTGGCAGAAAATAGCCCTAGTTATATATATTGGCATCAAATAGCCAATAAATGTATGTCACAATAATAATATGTATATCACAACTTTTTTTTTCTTCTTTGTCTATACCAACATGTATATTAAAATTTTATTTTCATTCTTTGTATATAAATAATATTATTCTTTGTATATAAATAATATAAAATTATATATATAATTATTGCTGCCTTTATATCAATATATATCACAATAAAAATATTGTATTATTTGTATATCACAGTGTATAGCACATCGGACATATGTATACCAAAATAGATATCATAAATTTATTTTTCTTCTTTGTGTACATCAAAAATTAATTTTCTTTGTATACTAAAATATTATTTACTCCCACAATTATATTTATTATTTTTATATTTTAGAACTTGCTTAAACATGCTATATCAAAAATTTATTTTCCTTTTTTGATCAATAATAAATAATTATATTATATGTTTATCACTGTGTATAACATAATAATAATGTGTATATCAAAAAATTATTAAAAATTTATTTTCCTTCTTTGTATAACACATTTCAGATTGAAAACTCAAGTTCAAGACGACTCCACGTGTGTATCCCCTATTGTAACCCGTGTATATCTCTATGTACATCAGCAATATCTCATGTATATTATGTGTATCTGTGTATATCCATGAAAATTTGTGTTATATATACGATATACAATGTGATATACACGGGCGTCCATAAAAAATTGTGTTGTATACGATATACAAAGTGATATACACAGACGTGCTTAAAAACTTGTGTGTGATATACACTGATGTACACGATATACAACGTGATATACACATATCGCAATTGGATTTTTAGGTTTGATTTTTTGCCCAAAACCAGTGGGGAGGGAAGCCAAAATAAGCGTGTAGTTTTTTTTTGAGAGAGAATATAAAAGAGATTAGGTTTTTTTAGGATTTGGCTATATAATGCCAATTGTTTGGGGCTATCTTTACCAAACCTAATATAAGGCTAAAAAATTGCCAATTCCTATTATGGTTTGTCATAGGATGCCAATTTTTCTAAAGTATAATCAGTTAAACCTTATAAATTAAATTTCGGGCAATGAAAACAATTCTGAAATTGTCTATATCATCCCCATATAATTTGTTTAAATTACATGGATATGCTTAGTAGGGAGTTAAGACTTTATGAAGTACTTCAGATAGAGAGAGCTAGTTTATTTAGAAGGTAACAAGTAAAAGAAGTTCTGAAAAACTTATATAATACTCTTTGAAGAACAATGGCTAGACAAAAGTCTATAAAAGAACAGAGAGAGTCTAAGAAAAACATTATCATACCATTACATTCATTGGTTCAGAACCCATAGTTTGTATGGATACCTATAGACGTAAAGTACGACAAATTCTACCAATTAGTGATGATTNCAAAAACAAAGGATCTAACATTACATTTTAATAGACAAATAAAAGCTAGATTTTTACTAGTTCATGAAGAAGAAAGACCTTGTTATCATCTATGTAGATGTAAGGTGTACGGTAGCATAGAGTCCAACTGATTTTGAATATGTTATATCTAATTTTAACGATGAAAATAATATATTTATTCTTTGTATAGGAACTCATGGATAGCATTCAAGATTGAAGGAATCAATCAGAGAAGATCAAGGAACTCATAAATAGCATACATGATTGACGCAGTCCATCAGAGAAAATCAAGGAAGGCATCCAAGATTAAAGGAATCAATGATACTGACGGAATCAATTAAGGCTAGACTGAAGGAATCAAATCAATCAAGAGTATCGCAAATCTGGAAGGATCAAGAATTGAGGAAGGATATCCGGCGCTATCAAGTCGTATAAGGGAAGTCATTAAAGCCTCTCGTCAAGCCAAAGTCGTTGCTGAATAACCTTATTCTTGGAAAGAATCAATCTCTTTCCAAGGATCAAATCTCTTGGGTTGGCAAATCTCTCCAGAAATCAAGCCTCTCTCAAAGTATTTAAACTTGTATCTGTACCTTAGCACATATACTTTGATCGAACCACATACTCTCTCTTTGTTCTACTATAAACAAACATTGTAGCTCTACTAGACCTATTGTGTAACAAGTTAGAGAAGAAAGAGAGAACAACACTGGTGATGCATTGTCTCAAAGAGAAACGAGTGATATAGGAACTGAGTTATTGGTGTAGATCACACCATTCACTGTGTACTAGAGAAACTTATTCACTGAAAAGAGAACTCACTTGCAACCCAAGGGGACTGGACTAGGATTCACATTGAATCCGAACCAGTATAAAAATTTCGGTGTCTTTAATTCTTGCACTTAATTTCTGCATCTTAAATTCTTTCCTTACTGCTATTAATTCGTTATATCTAGTCGACTCATTAGAAAATTAGTCAACTGGTAGCAATTAATTTTAAAAATAAACAATTCACCCCCCCTCCTCTTGTACTTTCAATTGGTATCAAAGCCTGGCTCACATTTTTCTTTTGCTTAACAACTTGTGAGAAAAGATCATGGCAAGTCAAATTATCATAGGAGCACTCTTTCAAGAAGGAACTTTGCAAATAAGGCCACCATACTTCAATGGAAAACACTTCTCCCGTTGGAAAGTGCGTATGAAAATATACCCAAAAGCTTATGATGTCAAAGTCTAGAGAGTTATCAAAAAGGGAAACTATCCCCTGCCTGCTGCTGCCCAACCACTTGCAGATCCCGAAGATATAGATTCATATACAGATGAGCAAATGGAAGTTGTACAAGTCAACAATAAGGTGAGAAATTTTCTCTACAATGCCATAAGCGGTGAAGAATATCAGAAAATCTCCAGTTGTGATACAGCCAAAGAAATGTGGGATAAGCTTGAAGTTACATACGAAGGAACTAGCAAAGTAAAAGAAACACATATCAACATGTTGGTTCACGATTATGAACTCTTTTAAATGAAAGAAGGAGAATCTATTGAAGAGATGTTTGCCCGATTCAGCAAAACTATTAGCGATCTAAAAGCTTTTGGAAAACCATACTCAAGTGGTGATCAAGTTAGAAAGATATTAGAAGCCTACCCACTACTTGGCAGACCAAAGTAGTCACACTTGAATCACAGGATCTGAATAAGTTATCATATGATGAACTTCGAGGAGAACGCATAGCCTTCGAGAAAACACATCTCAAGAAAACAAACCAAGAAGAAAAGAAGAAAACAGTCACATTTAAGGCCACAACTGAAGTAGCTGAAAATGATACTGATGATGATCATGAAGCTCTTCAAGAAGAAATTGCCATGGTGTCAAGAAACATGGATGGTTTAATGAGAAGATTCAGGAATGCGAGAAGAGGAAGGATTCCACCTAGGCGATCCAGGCAATACAAAGAACAAGATAAAAATGATGGAAAATGCTATGACTCTGGAAGATTTGGACATGTTCAAGCTGAGTGTCCAGATCTAAAAAGAAAAGTCTCAAGAGGTTTCAACAAGAACAAATATTTTGGAAGCTGGAGTGATGAAGACAGTTCAGAACACGAAGAGATAGCAAATCTTTGCTTCATGATAATTTTGGAAAACGACATGAACAAACTTTCAGGATGCTAGACAGATGAAGACACTTCAGATGAAGAATGCAAAGATGATAACGAGAATTGTTTCATGGCACGAGGTGAAACAAGTGAGGTAAGGTCTTATAACTATGAAAGATGTAATGAATTGCAGGATATTCTTGATCTTACTTTGAAAGAGTTTCAAAAATTGATGAATGAACTAAAGAGACTCAATGAAGAAGTAAAAGACTGAAAACTCAAACATGAAGTATGTGAAATCGAAAAAGAAGTACTTCAAGAAGAGTTTGAGGAATTGCAAATGCAACTCAATGGCATGCGCAAATCCACCAGTCATAGTTCTATCGGGTCAAACCAGGCGACTTACAAGCCAACTGAAGAAGGACCATCTAGAACAGAGTTCACAAGTACTAACACTACTGATAGATCCAAAAATGGATCAGGAGCTACGTCTCACTACTGCAACAAAAGTGGACATAGATATTCCTTTTGTCGATTTCGTAAATCAAATATTTCAGGATGGATTTGGAAACCCAAAAACAATTTTGAACCTAGTAATACTAACCAACCAGGACCCAAGTAAGCTTGGGTACCTAAAAGAAAGTAATCACTATGTTTTG